AGCCACTGTTTTGTTACCGCTCATAGAATCGTTGATGGTCGTCTGTAAGTACGTCGGTACACCAGCTGCGGCTCATCGTACTTTACCCACAAGTTCACAATCGGTAACAGAGAGCATGGAGGAGTTGTTCTTTAGCTTTACAGAGAATCATAGGAAGATACTTAATACCATGGTTAGAAATAACCCGTCGCTGATGAGTGGATCATTTTCATTGCTTGTACATAACCCGAAAATACTTGAATTCGATAATAAGAGGAACTATTTCAACCAGCAGCTGCACAAAAGAAATGGCACTCGAGATCATTATGGCACGTTACAACTCAACGTCCGTCGTCAATACGTATTCGACGACTCTTTCCAATTTCTACAAAGAAGAACAGGAGATGAAATCAAGTATAACAAACTTAGCGTTAGATTCTATGACGAAGAAGGTGTTGATGCCGGCGGCGTGACGCGAGAATGGTTCCAGGTGCTTGCTCGACAAATGTTTAACGAAGATTACGCTCTATTCAAGACATCAGCTGCGGACCGACTAACTTATCAGCCTAATAGATTGTCAGGATTTAATCCGGAACACTTGCTTTTCTTCAAGTTTGTTGGTCGCGTTATTGGAAAGGCTATTTATGATGGGAGACTATTGGACGCTTATTTCACTCGTTCGTTCTACAAGCACATGCTTGGAAAAGCTGTTGATTACAGAGACGTTGAGGCTATTGATTTAGAATACTATAACAGTCTGGTATGGATGCTGAATAATGATATTACCGGTGTTGTTGATCTAACATTCAGCGTGGAGATAGAAGATTTCGGACAAAAGAAAATAATTGACTTGAAACAAAATGGCCGAAATATTCCTGTAACTGAACAGAACAAGCGAGAATATGTCATGTTAGTTACGGAGCAAAAACTCACAAAAGCTATTAAGGATCAAATCGAAGCATTCCTTGCAGGATTCCACGAGATTATTCCCCCACATCTAATTAGAATTTTTAATGAACAAGAATTAGAATTGCTTATATCTGGTATGCCTGATATAGACATCGACGACTGGAAGAATAACACAGAGTACCAAAACTATACGCCATCATCACCACAGATTCAATGGTTCTGGCGAGCAGTACGTAGTTTTGATCAAGAAGAGCGAGCCAAACTGCTACAATTTGTCACTGGAACATCAAAAGTTCCACTTGGTGGATTTTCAGTGCTTCAAGGAGTTCATGGCGTGCAGAAGTTCCAGATTCATAAAGATTTCTCCAGTGCAGATAGACTGCCTTCAGCTCACACTTGGTAAGTATGCTGTGATACTGGGGAGGGGGAGGGGAATAGTGCATATCGATGCCTAACTAAGTCTTTCTCTTTAACAGTTTCAATCAATTGGATATTCCTGAATACGAAAGTTATGAACAGTTGAGATCACAGTTGTTGTTTGCAATCTCAGAGGGAACGACCGGATTCGGCTTCCAATAATAATAATATACAAAACATATCGATTAGAATTTTATGGACATTGATTCTTTTTCTTTTGATAATGTAGAAGAATGAAACTCTCATTCCCTGGTGTAGTATTAGTCATTATTTTCTTTTTTTTATTTGCATTTATTAGTTTGTAACTTGTATATTTCACTCAAATATCAATGAATATTTCTATATAATAAACTATACTTCTCTACTCCGTAAAAGGAATGTTGGTCTATGAATTTATGATCTATTCGTAATTCACAATCGGATTCACTGATTGCGCGCATAACATTGTTAATTTACAGTCGGATTCCCCGCAAGTCATGATATTGACATCTTGGTCAATGAGTGTATTTCAGTGGTCTCGCGTATGTATTTTTCTCCTTGACATCGTCTGTCGTTGTACTTTTACACTTTTGTTTGCGCAAAGCCTTTAGGAAGCGGTAGAACGTAATCTTGTCTGAAGAAAACAACCCTTCCGGTCGCACAAGAATGGTTGTTTGATTATTTTAATTGGATTATATGATCGTCTAATAACTGTTCACAATACGTCCTCAAACTACCCCTGATAGAACATTATCATTTACACGTCGTGATTTACATGCAAAAATCACGTTTCTTTTTTTCGTCTTCTCTGGACTAACCGATTTAAAGATACAACAAATACAGTGCCCTGACAAAAGTGAGGTCTATCGGTGTTATACATATAATTTTCGCATGTTTAGCATAGAATTGCCCACTGTATCAACTACAGCGTGGCAGGAATTTTTTCTCACCACAAAATTCTGCAGATCGAACGTTGAAAGTTGTTCATATATGAAGTAAATATTTTCTAACACACTCGCCGTGATGCAATAAGTAAACGTATTCACAATATCTATGCACATGCATTTTGTAAGTTTCACAGACTTTGTAAGCGAAAAATGATGGCTTACGTCGAAGGTAAAGATTTTCGGAAATCTATTTTAAAACGATAGTCATAATGCTATTTCAGAAGTTAATTACAATGTTTCCTTGCATTTTTAAGTACTACATTTTAAACTTATAAATATAAAATTTCAGACAATTTGGTTTAGATTTCATTGAATACTAATTCCAAAAGTAAAATTTTCTAAAATTTGAGCCTTTGTAATTATATATCGTTAGCGGTTTGTTAGAATCCAGCTATATTTCACAAAATGACGTGCGTTGTTGTTGTTAATAACTTTTATTAGTACGCGTTTGTTTACTGACAAAACGGGGTAAAAAGTTTTATATAAGCAACTGGTTGAGATGCAGTTATCTGACACTAAAATTTGCACTGCCTTGTACTTGCAATGCGATGTAATATGGCAAAAACTAACTCACACCCAGCGTGCACAGATTATTGCAAGAAGAATGGGGTCACAAATAGATAATAGTGTAATTTAGTCTCTTGTTGATAATATGCCCAGACGAGTTACTGCTGTAATAGAAAGTAAAGAAAAATTAATAAAATTTGGGTATTGTCTTATAATTTAACTTCTTATTATTATTCAATAAAATCTAAACCAAATTGTATATTTATAAGTTTTAAAATATGGTAATTTTTTTTTACTTAAGAATGCAAGGGCGCATTGTAGTTCTACTTCCGAAAATAGCACTATGACTACCGTTTTAACATAGATTTTCGAAAATCTTTACCTTCGACGTAAACCATTATTTTTCGCTCAATATCACGGCCTTAAATAAAAACTAGTCTCTATTATTGAGTGTCTTAGAAAATATTTACTACAACTTTAACATTCGATCTGCAAATTTTCGTGGTGATCACTTCACTTTTGTCGGGGCACTGTACAATAGGAGGTATTCAGAAAACGTATTTCTCTCGCGTTCCGATTTAAAAACGCTAACAGCATAAAAACATCATTGTCACCATGGAAATTGATTTCAACTAAAACATCTTTGTAAAGATGACCACGTCATAAGCAATGCGATTGATCCATTTCGTTGTATCTCGAGACACAAAACTATTGAAATTATATCACATGGTGGAATAAATTGTATTTATACAGTTCCAAAACCGAAAAACGAGCTATCCGTATGGCGCAAGACCAACTGTTTCAAACTCCGGCATCAAAAGATCTTATCCTTCTCATTTGATGCATGATCATTCTTCGTTAACTTGCTGATGACTGGATGCTAATCTGTATTATAAAGAATACGTATTCAGCGAATTTTCGATTCATCTTATCCTTTATCTCCTACATTATTACCGGCGAAAATCACGTTCCTTCTGGTTTCACTCTCTCTTCCCTATACATGGATATCGATAATAATAACGCCACCACTCTTTTTTTATCAAACAGAGCCACTAAAGTCTATAAGTTTGCTAAATTGCAAAAGGAATTTGTTAACCTTTACATGTGCTCAGTGCTCTACTCTATGTTATGCCGTCGATCTCGCCCATTACATCTCTACACCGATTTTTCCGACAGAAAACATGTTATACATGGTATTGTATCTAAAAGTGTTTTTGTTCTTCTGATTCAAGAAATCAAATTGAATGATACTTGGACACTGCATTTGGTGGTAAACTTAAAGCTGAGATTAATCTTAATTTGAAGCATTTTAATGTTACTCAGAACAATAAAGAAAAACAGCTCTAGCGGTCCACCGTAGCTGTGTCAATAAAGGACAACGAAATCAGAACAATAAAGAAGTTCAAAGATTTCTGCATTGTCTACATTTGTGGCAAGTCTGATGTTCCTTGTCATACAAGAATTTCCTGATATATTTAATATTACCCAGACCATTTGATAACACGAGAACCTGCTCATGAAAAGACAAATGCAAATAATAACTTTTTTTTTTTTGCTTTCTGAAGTAACAACATGTTTTGATAACTGTCAAGAAATGTATTTTTTAAACCATTATATACCTTGCTCAAGTAGTCTAAAATTTCTGTTGCACCCGTCGAATTTGGCTTTCTGCTATTTGACGTTTTCTGCAGATTGTAGTTATATCCGATCTGTTTTTCATTTCACTACATAAATTTTGTATAGCATTAGCAAGATTTGCATTAATAACTATGTTGTCTTTGTCGGGGATTTAAGGAATGTTTATATTTCGTTTCGGTAAAGTCCGCAACTGTTTTATGCCTTCGGCTTTCTCTGCAGGCGTTCTGTCTGGTGAAAGTCGAAAGAAGTGCAGCTTTGTCCGCGTTGATTAGCTTTTATTCTTTGTAATGTTTTCTCTCTCTGCTTTTAAGACGTACTGGTGTTGTATCGTTCAAATTGAAATCCATATTTGATACATACTTTTTAAACCAACGACGTTGAGAAATTTTTCTCTAAAAATTTGACGTCTATGACGATTGAATAACGGCCACAGTCAGTCCATCGAGTGTATATGTCGGGTCAAATCATCTTGTTAACGACAACCGTCTGTTGGATTAAGAGAAGAGATTTCTATGCATATAACGGTAGTTAAACTATCACGTACGACACCGCAGACGAACCATTGAACCGAATTCAAACCGTTTTTTTTTATTAGTTTCTATTAATTAAATAATAGTAAGAATTTTAGGGCTTTTTATCGTCTCCGCCTTCACTTTCTTCTACTTTAATCTCAATCGAATTCTTTTTGCTTTCGTTATCTTTGTTGTTTTCATCAGTCTCTAATAGTGAGCGAACTTCCTCTACCGACAATCTGCGTGCTTCTTCAGCGGTGTAGCTATGAATACCGAAGGGACGATTCTCTTTTGCGAATATCCATTCACTGGGCACAGGCGGTTTGTGGGATGTGATTATATTGAGTTCGCGTTTGATTAGACTGGGAAGATTAGAAGTAAATTATATTAGATGAGATGATATACGAAATTTAATGTCATCTTAAAATCATACAACTTTCACCATATTGTCAATACGTACTTGCAGAAGTCATCCAGATTCAAGTCATTCTCATCGTAACCAAACGGATTCTCAATCTCTCCGCCGATATGTTCGATACCAAACAAGACAAATGAGGCAAGAAATACTAGTGGAATAGTGACCCAACCCAACAGACTTACAAACTGGAACGGTAGACTAAGACAATAAATCCATACTGTCTGTGATAAATGGATAGCATACGCGACAGGAATAGGCGATCGTAGAATTCTCTCGAATTGTGTCAAACAATCGGTCAGTTGTGCAAGCCCTGCACCCAACGCGTTAGCGGTTGGAATGGTGATACGCCCTTCTTTAAACTTTGCATCGAAATAGCTAGCAAGATAAAGCAGAATTTCGAGCGGCAGATTATGGTTGACTGGTATCACATCACCCTTCTTTCTCTCATGTGGCTTGCGGTTTCTCCTTAACATTTTATTCAGAGAATTAGACTTAGTGCCTTCATACAAAGAAGCAGCCTTGTCTTGCTCCTCAAGTGGCTGGAATCCAGGCAATTGAGTTTCAATATTCGAGATGACTTTTGCGACGTCTGCTTCTTCAACAGGATTCTCTTCCCTGAGGTAATGTTTGGTTGCAAGGGCAAAACCAATGAGAAGATTTATAACAGATTTCTTTTCAAGTATTATGGCCTTTTTTTCATCTTCCGTCTCCCCATCCTCTTTGATGCTGATCCATACTGATCGGGCGAGGTTACGTACTGCGACCGTCAAATTGGACCAAAGGCGGCGACCTTCCCAGTACCTAACATTGTAAAATTGTTGTAAGGTTAGTCTCGATGCAATAATTAATAACTATAATTGTAATTAATGTCTATCCATCCATAATTGGTTAATTCAGAAACTGAATTTTCTTTCCCTCCCTCCTCCCAGAAACAAAACCTGCCTATCATATGCTGTGTTTGTGCGATACGTCAATAGCAAAGCAACAACAAACCCAAGGACGGGGATAAGCGTTTGGGGTATGCTCAATTTAACACTGGTAAGTTTGTGAACGCAAGTCACCGCAACGGCGACGAGAAGACAGAGGAAGGCCGAAGGAAATACTCGGGGAATGACTGAACCTCGCCATTGTAGTGAATGAGGTCTGTGGTATGCATAAGGGTTGTATTCACTCTCAGCATTTGACATTATTCTAGACAAGTTGATTTATGTTATTCGTAAGTTTTGTATTGGGTGCTTGCAAGCAAACGTGTTAATATTATGTGACTTTGGGAATATTAATCTTGTTTGTCGAATGTTCCGACATGGGGAGTATTTATATATGCATTCGATGTAACCTAGTAAAACTTTATCACGAACCCTCCCGTGAGATTCTGATACAGTTAAGGACAATGAGAATTGTGTTGGGACAATAATCTATCCTTAGAGGTCGAATGTTAACCTGTTGTGCAACACATATACAGCGAAAGACAGAAAAGGTCCTTTTGATAGTGCAACGGTAAGAAACGTTGCCTCACTCTTCCGTCCCAAATTGATATGCAGTATAACATGTAGCTCAATGATTCTCGAAATTACAATGCATCTGCGTGATAGAATAGGAAAGAGACAGTACGTCCGACCATTGGTTAACGTTGAATGAAGGAATGAAGGAATGAAGGATCATAATTATACTGACATATAGTAATAGCGGGTCGGTTATTCTTGAATAGTCGGCTAATGTCTCGAAACGCCGATAATCTCGATTTGGCAAAAAAATTTTTGGCTTATGCTACACTGACTATTTTTATCGGGAGACGCAGCAGTATCTCACAAACGCATACAAGGCAGTTTGTGTTAGTGCCACAGAAAGGGTTTGTCCCTCCATTGCCATTCAACCCAAAAAAGCAGAATTCAGCCCGAACAAAAGTTTCGTAACAACGACAATACTTACGTGAAAAAGGGATAGGCAAGCGGAGAATAGATAATCGCTTTTCGTTCGTTAACGATTATTAATCTTTATAAATTGTCCTGTTTGCTTTGTTCTGGTTGAAGTTCGTGCAACTTTCTTGTGTTGAATTGTGGGGCTTGTGTTTGTCGTTTACAACAATAATCGCAGAAACAGATTTCTCATTTTTGACTTAATCAAATGATTGGGTTGACGTCGTGTGACGAATTTTTCGATCGTATATCTGGTGAGCAAAACATATTAACTGCATATTTGCGGACAGTTAGCGCATTCTCCATAATAATAAATGTCAATACATTCGTACAATTCCCATTAAAGAACTTTTTGGACATCGCAATTAACTTGAGAATAATATTCGTAAGCGAGTCCACTATCGCAAGACGGATACGCGCAACCAATTTGTTATTACTAATTAAAAAAAAACATGACAAATTGGATCACCTTTTGAGTTTCTGCAAGTCATTATTTTTGAATATCAAAATTGGTTATATTCAACTTAGGTTCTTTCTAATATGCTAAGTGATAGTTTCTTCCACTAGCTTTTACCGGGACAACAACCATGTAAGCTGGGAATCGAATCATATTAACATATTATTATAAACGGTCAATAGCTTTAATTTGTTTAATTATATATCATTCAAATAGTATGATCCGTTAAGGTAAAAAACAATTAATTTTATTAATAACCTATAACAATAAAATATTTGTTCACTAACTGTGAAAGTAAATGTAGAATTTAAACCAACAAAAAATTTCTGATTCGGAAGAATAATTGCTGTGGTTTTGCACATCATGGTTACAAAAGAGCCAATGATATTTATTTGGTCATTAAATCAAATAAATAGTTACTTCCGCACCCAAACTTCTCAAGTTGTTTAATATCCATTCTAAATATTAGTTCGTCGTTAGACAAGGTACGGACTAGTTTTGAAAAATGATATTAATACTGTATTACTGGCTTCTAATAATGTCATTTATAGTGTCAACCACATAAATCAAATAAGTCACGCAATAAAATCTTCTTCAGACATCAGATCGAACTGCCAACTAAATTTAGAAAGGGTATCAAAGAGTCACGGGCGCCAATACCAGGGGACCGCATCGTCAAAATCGCATTTCATTATTAAATTATCAAAAGTCTATAAAGTATTAAATTATTAATATTTACGTTTAAACAAAATACGATTTTTATTTTAAAGGTTTATTACTGTCTGATGATATTAGTCTGTGAATAACACATTTCGCATCGTTGAGAAAACGCCAACAATTTAAAGACTCATGCTAATGCCCTTCTAAACAGTAGACGTTTGATTACTTGAACGGGCAAGCGATAGAATAATCAAAACGCAGATATTATATTAAATTGTTTCTCCAATTCAATTTGTTATGACATATAATTGTTGATATCCTAACTTGAGCGCGAGTAGAGTAGCTATTCGTGTTAGGGATAGAGAAATAATTCGAAAGCAGTTCATATGTAAAGGACAATCTTACTATTGAAAACGCCATTAAATAAGCATGCAGATAATTGCGACAACTCGGAGAACGGCGATGGATTTTGGAATAAGGAGAGAAATCAATAATTTTGGGATAGTTCACGACTCTTAATGAAATTGGTGTATCCAAATACTACTACTACATCACGTGCGACAAAAATTTTTTCTCTCGTTTTAAAAGCAGTTGGATATTGTGCACTGGCGACCCTCTCTTTCGAAATTATCACTGGTTTGGTTCGTTACTGTGATCATTATTAGTAAAAATGGTAATGTATAGCTTTGTCTCGTCTTAAGATTTGACGTCTGCACGTTACTTGTGTCCAAATCCTGAGTAGCGCTGACGAATTAATCCACAGCTTTCGTACCGTGTGCTTTTAAACGCTTGAAAAGAAACCCATTAACACTCTGTAGTCAAATCGAATACTTGCAACAATAGGTCAACGTTCCAAAAATCAGAAATACTTATTGTAAAGGCAAAAAATGCCGAAAGCACACGCCACATAAAGTATCGCAATATAAGAAGGGCAAAGATTCACTCTATGCTCAAGGTAAATTGCAATGATCATATATATTCCTAGCTCGATTGACAGAATGCGGTAATGATGTATGCCTATGTTGGGTTGTATCGAATAGGAAAGAGGCGATACGATCGTAAACAATCTGGATATGGTGGCCAGACCAAGCCAGTTTTCCACAAGAAAGGTCAGATTTTAATTATTCAAGTGCGGGTTTTGACATTATCCAGCTGACTCACTCGATCCTGTCTTATTTTTACCTCTAGCCAAAACCACCAAGAAAATTGTCCTTCGTTTGGAATGTCAAAAATGCAAGGTGGGTTTAATTAGTTGATGTTATGTCGTCATTCTAGTGGCTTTGGTATGAAAGGTTTGCCATAATTAACAATATTCCGTTCTTAGTACAAACATCAAATAGCTCTTAAACGATGTAAACACTTTGAGCTTGGTGGTGATAAGAAGGTATTTTAATTTTTAATCTAAGCTTGTCATGTTCTTTCATCAATTCTTTGACCATTCAACACGTATTGCTCATCTCTTTATAGACCAAAGGAGCTGCTCTTGTCTTCTAAGCATATTCTCAACCAAGAAATAAAATGTGTATATGCTTTCCCCGGGTTTACTTCGGCCTTTATACTAATGTATCATTTGAATAGCAACTTACATAGTCTGCGGTGGTTTATTTTTATTAAGTCGTCTAATTCTGGAAAGGCTTCTGTTTATATTATTTGATCACTTTTTCGTGGGGTACAACGAAGCGAGGTGGATTTGTAATGCTGGTTTGCAGCAGACATAAGACTTTGAATTTTTAGTAAATCTCAGCCACATCGTAGATTCCATAGCCACAAGTAAATTCATTCCATGTGCTTCACGGCTGGCCGAAAACATGATCCGTAGTTGTTTGTGCTGTATAACAACGTGAGGCGGTCATTTGACGGAATATTTGATAAAGCCATCAGAGATAGTATTGAATGATCCAACTTTTCAAGCCAAAGCCCACTAATTTCATGAAAATAATAGTCATTCGACGTGGACACCGAAAGTTTCAATTGTATGACTGCTATACAAGTATCAACAATACATGCAGCAAATAGAATATTACATATTGTATAATACATAAAAAAGATCTCAAACATTTGGGAATGAACCGCTATGGTAAAAAATCAACCCACCGAACAAACGAAGGACCTGATCGTGGGAGCAAGTTGGCTGAGAGGTCGCATCGACGGATTGTCCATGTTGATAATTTATTACATGTTGCTCTTTGTCTCCCAACGGCGCTTAGACTCAAACCTAATTTAAACAACAGCAAAAATCAGACAACGAATATGGAAAAAAACCAACAAAATAATTTTATATACGCACCCCCATTTCAGTTTACGGCCTCTTTTGTTCGCCTTTCGCTCTTCTTCTTTCTAATTACATATATGATTTCAGTAAATATTCGAATTCCATTACTAACAGCTCGCAAAATAGATAATATACCAGCTTGGCTTCATAATACTCTTTCCGCTCGATGGCTTCTTGCACCACATGTTCGTAGTTCTTGAGAGAAATCTCTTCGCTCAACTTGGTAGCAAGTTCTAAATCACCTTTTGTTACCGCTCTGTCTAATTCTATCTCTAGCTTTCCCTAGTAGTTCGTCCTAACATCATGAATCTATAGTATCAACCGAAAAACGTAAAAGTACGATTGCTACGAATGCTTACCATTGGATTGAGTCGACCGTGATCAACGCCTTTGAGATGTGAATTCATATTTATATACTTTGCTATGCTCGGTGGCAATGGTGTATTTGGTGAAAATATAGAAGCCTTTTTCTCCCTTTTTGACTTTTTGGTTATTTTTCCAGTAACCGGCATTTCCATGTTGGCCGATTGCGAATCTACTCGAGTTGCGACGTTATTTAGCAGACGTGTAGGCGTTTTAAGATTATTTCAAGCCTTTGCAAATAAGAGTGGTAATACCTTCAGAGGGGTTAATCTGATCTGCTTTCCGTTTCTTGTAGTAATAACCTTTCGTAGTCTCTTCCACTCGCCTTTTGGGTTGTCGAGGCATAATTTTGATAAAACAGTCGTTGGATCAATGCACAGATTATAGTCACTTTATGGTCGTACAGCATATTCCCATTCATCAAATCATCGTCAATTAACTAAACAGTCACTCTCGATCCCCGATAAGATGAAGTGGCCTAATATGATGCTTTTTCCCGAAACCAAATTAAAATGAATATACTTATAATTTCGCGATATAACGTTATAATGATGTTTTCGTGCGATTTATATAGTAATAGAACCAAGCTTAGTAAAATGAGCTCGATACTATAATTGGTCATAGTAATCATATTAAATTGTACCAATTAAATTAAAACAATTATTCATAAATTCTTACTCTCTTTAATTCGTTCGCAACAATAAAAAAACAGATAAACAATAAAAGTATAATTAGTAAAAAACCTGCAATAAAGCGGGTTACTCTAACAGGTGTTCACAAAGAAAAGATTTGTGTTTAAAAAAGAAAGCTCAACTCAAGCGGAGCTTGCGAAACTGACAATAAAGAATTTATAATAATAATGACGTTTCACGTGACTGCGTAATTTTTTTTGGTTAAATCAATATCTGCGCTTTTCTTGAGATGCATGGTCGAATTAGAAGAAAATCGTTATTGTACTTGGTAACAAATGCGCGTACTATTTATAATATCATGTTGTGCTTGTTCTAGCAATAAAATTTTACAGTTTTATACCAGACAAATGTTTCGGTAGTCTTGACGTTCAACTATCTTTTTCTACCTTTAAACCAGTTGTCCGGGAAACCATCGATTTAACAGACTCTCGATACAACGGATATCGCTTAGTACGGAGACTCGTGGAACAAATCCAACACTAATAAAATTTGACTCGATATACCAGATTTTATCAGTAATCTCTCGAAGCCCATAACCAAAAAGTACTAAATGCCAATTCTATCAAAAATGTATTTGATATAACAGATATCGCGTGCGCGTAATAAAAAAACTCTAGTTGAACCAGTTTAATTGACAGAATTGTATGTCAACCGACAAAATTGCTCCGCTTTTAGCATACCTTTTTGTTTTTAATAATGTTAATATGGTTAGTTAATATTCCGCACTTCTATTATTATAAAAGGTTTGCGTGCTAATAAAATCAAAAAATTTATTATAACTGTTAACAAAGACGCTTTGTTTAAACGTACCGAATCAACCATAGGGTTCAAAAAATATAAATATATCTAACGTTAACTCGCCAAAAAGAAATATTTTATCAGGTGTACAAATTGTGTAAAATGAACCCAAGCTTAACAAAATAGAATTAGCGGAGAAATATGGAATATGTTTGTAAGGCCTACATGATTAAACATTAATTGATCGCCCGATAAAATTGCAGATACAAATAATGGAGTACTATGTAGCTTATTATGATATCCCGGTATAGCGGATTTAGCGGATCTAACAGAGAAAAGGGGTCGGAACCATAGCCTCCGTTATATCCAATATTAAGTTCTGTATATTGATTGCTAAAATAAGTGACAATATCATGATGTTTCGTATCGTGATTGGCTTTTACCATATTATTTCCTTACGGAGGGACTGTAGTTCGTTTTCGTGTTACAATCATACCTCTTTTAAATCCCCACCCTTTAATATCCCAACCTCGAATATATCCCACCTGCGAAGCGGGACGGATTTCC